CCCATCCATCCACCCACCACCCATCCATCACCCACCACCCATCCACCCACCCACTACCCATCCATCACCCACCAACTATCCATCACCCACCACCCATCCATCCACTCTTCCATTCATCCATACAGACATCTATTGCTCATTCAACCACTGCTGAATCCACCAGGCAGTCTGTGTCCCTCCACTTGCCCCTCCCCCTCCCACCCTTCCCCCCTCCCTTTCTGTCTCCCTTCCTTTCTTCCTTCTCTCCTCCTGCCCTAAATTTATTGGCAGCTTCTACCTGCCAAGCCCAGCGCTGAATGACACGTTGGAATCTTTGGCTCCTTTCTCACTTCCCTGACTCCCCACTCCCAGTAGTTAAATGAGTTTTAGGTCCCATCCTGGGGGCCTCCAGCAAGTCATTTACTCTCACTTCTTCATCAATAACCTGAGGATTCTCGTAACAAGGTTTAAAGGGCTAAGCCAGCATCAGGACAGCGATTCGTCGAAAGATGCCCTCAGTGCCACTAGCTCGTCTTCCTGCTGCACTGTTCTGCCTGGCCCCAGGCTACCCTCTGTTCCCTCCTTCCCACCCACACCTGCTCGCCCTTCCCGTCCCTCACTGGGACCACCCCTGCTGCTCCTTCGCCCCCTACCCGCCTCTCTTCCACCTCCCCAGCCCAACCTTGCCCTCATGTGACCATCTCCCACCACCACTGACAGCCCTCCAGTGGGCTGTCTCCCCCTGGCACCATCCTGCTCCGAGTTTATCACTGCAGGCTGCCTCTCCTGGCCCCAGCCAGTTCCGCCTGGAGCCTGGAGGGGGGTGGGGTCGTCTCTGTGCCCAGGCTCACCTACGAACTGGGCACGCTACAGGCCACGCTCGTAGGGCTTTGAGTATTGAATGAGCCCACCCTTGTGAAGTGCGGGCGGCAGGCCAGCCACGCGTAAACGTGCAGTGTGGCACGGCCAGGTCTTCGCACGCCTCTTCCCTCTTCCTGGAGCGGTTCCCAAGCACACTTGGCAGACTCCTGCACCCCCAGCACACAGGGCACGCGGCTCTCCAGCCTCCACCACTGTGTGTGATTTTATTTTCATTACCCTGGATTGTCACTTTCTCACACTTGACTGAGGTGGTGACTGCCTCCTTGTGGTGGGTCCTGTGGTGGCACAGAGTAGCAGTGAGAGTGGCGGCGAACCTCTGCTGAGCCTACTATGTGCCAGGCAGCACATCGGATGCTTAGCATCCCCTTACCCCTTTAATTCTCATAAAAATTGAGCCGATGGGTATTGCCACCCTATTTACATATGAGGATACAAAACTCAGAGACGTGGAGTTGGAGCATTTTGTTACTGACTCCTGGAGTCACCCTGCTTTCTACAGTTGAGGAAACTGAGGCGTAGAGAGGGCTAGTGACTTGCCACGGCCTCGCCGCTAGGGAATGATGCAGTCAGGATTTGAACCCAGGCCGCCAGCTCCAGCACCCAGGCTCTCAACCGCCACACTTAGGGTGGGGTTCACACTTAGGAAGACACTGGGGAGGGAGCCCCCTCGCGGGCCTTCCTGGGGTCTGCGGCTGATGAGGGAGACAGAGGCTGAACGGACGGGGGCGGGGCGAGCTGGTCTGTCTCCTGCTACCTGCAGCCCCCTGAGCCCCAACATGACCCCCTGCGTGGCCGAGTACCTTCGGGGGAGTCACCTCCAAGGCCTGTCCCTCCAGCTCAGGACAAAGGTGCCTTTGAGTGCTAAGCCAGGCGATCTCCCTGGCGCCAGAGCCACACTAATCCCGCCGGCCCAGGGGACAGAGAGGCCTCATGGCCACCAGGCCTGGTCTCAGGACGGAGGAAGGGCACAGATGCTCTGCGGACGGACAATGGCCGCCTTTGTGCGTGCACTGCCCTCTGCAGTTTACTGTGCGCATCGGTCACTGCGGAGAAACGGCACGGTACGTGCACAGTACGTGCTCTCTTTGAGTTGTATTTCAAAGACGTATAAAAAAGGAAACACGTTTGTCTGACAAGCACTCATACCACACAGGGTGCAGGCAAAGGGGTGGGGGTGGGGCGGGTGTGAGGCTCCGAACACTCCTGGGCACCCATGAGGCTCCAGGAAATTCCAAATGGTTCTGTATAATCCTGTAAATTCTGCAGGCGAAGGGTAATTATGCCCATTTCTCAGATGGCCAGACCGAGGCCTGTAAGGAAAACTAATTGTCCGGCGGGAGGGCAGTCAGGCTGTGGGACGCAGGTGTGTGTTCTCGGCCTCCCCGCCCCGGGGCCTTGCAGCCCCATAGCTAAGCGGGGTAGGGGCAGGAGGGCTGCCTCCAAGCCCTCATAGCTTCTGCAGACCTGCTGTGTGGGTCCCGCAGGGACCCAGCTGGCGAGGGGACAAATGTGACCTGCTGAGTACCTACAGTGTGCCCGACCCTGTTCTCAGTGCTCCGCATGATTGAGTCAGTCCTCACTGTCCCCTAGCGAGGCGGGGATGTCTGGTCACTGTGCCAAAGCCGAAGGAACAGAAGCGCAGGGGAGAACTGGCTGGCAACAGAGCTCGAGCCCAGGATCCACCTCCAAAGCCTTTTCCAATAAAGCACCCCCTAAAGATGGGGGAAGTTCCCAGAGCAGGCTGCCCCAGAGGCCAGGACTTGATGCCAACGTGTCTGCTCCAGAGCGGGGAGGAAACATTTTGCACCATTCAGAGAAATCGTTATTATCGACCTGATGAGCGCAGGTGAGGTGGGAAGACAGGAGTCGCCCTCATTCCAGAGGGGTTCTCGGGTGGCCTCTGGGAGTAGGGAGCAGGTGGCCTCTGTTAAGCGTGGCGGTGGACTTAGCTGGGGTTGGGATCTGGGAAACAGGACGACGCCCTGTCCAGTGGAAAGGATGAAGCGTTCATTCATTGGCTGCACTGGCACCTGTGCTGCGTCGAGCTACGAGTGGCCACAGGCCGTCTTTGCTTGGCCTGCTCAGAGCAATGCCAGCTTAGCATGGCAGAAGGCCCTGGGTAGCCCAGCGGAAGGGTACAGGTTGGGCTTGTCCAAAAAACTTTCCAGAGCAGCTGACATTTCTGCCAGATGTTGACCACGAGAGTCTGGAAAAAAGGACTCTGGATGGCAGGAATGGCGTGAGCAAAGGCCCGGGGGCCGGGAGCCTGGGCTGGGCAGGTGAAAGGAAAGAGCAGCACCGAGTGAGGAGAGGAGCGGGACTGAGTGTGGAGAGCAGAATCATCTCCAACGCCGCAGGAGAGGTCTGGCCCATGTCCCGGCAGTGGCTGCCTCTGAGAGGTAGGAGCAGGCCTCGACTGGAAGCGACGAGGGGCAACATTCTGGGGAGACGGAAATGTCCTAGCTAGCTTCAGATGGGGAGCAGGCTGGATAAAACTGTTAAAAGTCAATAAATGAGCACCAAAGGTCTGTGCATTTCACTATAAGCAAATCTTATACCCAAAGAAGAGGCTCACAGTGGCATATTATGGAAGTGTTTAGGGGGAATGTATTGCTGTCTGCAATTTACTTTAAAACACGCAGAATAAAAGGTGAAAAAAGTGTAACAGATTTTAATGATAGAAAGCTGGTGGATGCAAGGTGTGTGAGCAGATGGGGGTTCACTGTATAATTCTTTCAACTTTGCTGTCTGTGTGAAATATTGTCATAGTGAAATATTGGGAGAAAACATTCTTTAGGCCCCTGGGTGGGGGGAACACCCTCTTCTCATTCTCTTTGCCCCACTATCAAGACTGAGGAGTCAGACCCATATCCATCAGTCTGGATCCCCGAAGCAGTCCTGTGAGGTGGGGGTCATGCCGTGGACAGGTGGAATAATGACGGGAAAGGGCTGGCCCATGGTCAAGCAGTCAGTCAAGGATTGAGCAGAATTTGAACCTGGGTCCCCGGATGCTGTGTCCTGCTGGACACAGCTGGAGGTGGGGGTACATCAGGAGGTGGGGTACATCTGGAGGTGTGGTACATCTGCAGTGGGCACCACTGCAGGTGTTTCCATTTCTCTCACCTGGGGGCCCAGCTGGGGTCTCCAGGAATGTGCTCAGACCCAGGACTGATAACTGCCAGCTCATGTGACACCATCCGGGGCTGAACGCAGCTCTCGGAATTAGACGCAAACCGCAAACCTTTGTGGTTTGGGAGCTCAATGTCTGATTCGCAGAACAAATCTGGATTCCGGTCACTTGTAATTACCTGGTGCTTCCCTCTGTGGGTCTGGGCGCAGGCTCTGGGGGCTATATAAGGCTGGCCTGTGACCAGACTCAGCCCAAAGCAGAGGGCCCGTGAACGGGACCTCTCGACACCAAGCTGCAGGGGCCTCCCCAGGGGTAAGGAGGGCTGGTCGGGGGAGGCTGAGGCCGGGGAGGCACTGGGAGCACCCTGCTGGAGACCTCTCTGAGCTCTGTCTGTCTGAAACATGGGCACAGTCAGAAGAGCCGCTCAGGGATTAGCAAAAGGGCCTGCAGCCTGTCATCTTTCTCTGTGATGTTGGGGACTGGGGACCTTTGCTTCTTCTCTGAGTTTCTCCAGCTGCTCACGGAGGCCAGAAATTCCACTTTTGGTGGAATTTTGGTGCTTGTCTTTTTCACTGAAGGTGTGATCCCTTCTTGAATCCAGAACTCTCTGGGCAGTGTAGTTAGGTGAGGTGAAGAACTCAGGAAAAAAAATTCTTGCATGTATCAGTAGTTCATATTCTAGTATAAATGAGCCCTTCTGATAGTCTCCTAGAGCAGGTGAGCGTGGGGAAAAACTGGGGACTTAGCAAACCTCGAGGGGAGCAGGGCAGAGAAAAAGGAAGGGGAAGGGGACACAGGAAGCCCGCAATCTCAGAGTGGCCCGGAATGGACACCATATTCTGTGCCAGGTCTTTGGGGCTGGGTGGGCTGGGAGGAAGGAGTGAGAGAAGGTGAAGGCGAGGAGGCGGTAAAATGAGGCTCCCTGGAGGAGGATCCGCTCATCCCAAAATGCCGGCTTCGCTCCCTGCAGCCTTATACACTCCACACCACTTCTCAGGGATCTGAAACTAGATAGAGCCCCCAGACAAAAGCAAGCGTGCTTTACTGAGTATCTATTCTGGGCCACCCACAACATGCTAGTGACCAGAATGCAGAGGTCTGAAAACGTGGTCTCTGGCATGAGGATCCGGGCTCAGGTAGCTGTACTCAGAGTCCTTAACCTTAACCACACTGGGTAGAACTGCTTCCTCCCAAGAGGAAGGGGTACCCGCTGGCTGGCTGGCGCAGGGCTGGAAGACAGGGATACACGATGCAAGGACGGATGGGTGGATGGATGGTGGGTAGCTGGCACGCCGGAGACATCTTACCAGAGTCTGTCTGGACCCGCTTTCTGTTTGATTGGACCCCCCTTGCCCACTGTGCTCCCCCCACACACCCCCAAATTTCCATTTGGAAATGTTGTCTTGGGCAACAGTCAAACATCCATGCACAAGTTAATCTAAGCTAATCTGCAACAGACAGAACCGTCATGGGTCTGCTGTGTGTCCCTAGATTCACTGAAAACTCGGAAGGCGGAATCAGGGACACCGGGCTCTACCCACTGCGTGACCCCTGGCCATCTCCACTCCCTGGCCATTTCCCATCCCTGGGCTCAGGGTCCCGCCGAGACTGTCAGCAGCTCCACTGCTGGCCAGGTGACTGCTCGGTCTGGGCCGCCTGACGCACGGTCTCCTCAGCAGAGAAGCAGCGCAGCATGTGGACAGCGTGGTTGGTGGCTGCTCTGTCGGTAGCAGGTGTGTGTGGCACTGAAAAGGAGACGAACACTGTCCTCAGGGTTACCAAAGAAGTGCTGAACAATGGTGAGTCTGGGTCTCCAGGGGGACAAAAGGGTGCATGGGTGGGCAGGGCAGTCCAGTCTGCTCTGAAGTTCTCTAGAACCTTCTTTCCTTACCAGCAGGTTCTACATCAGGCACATGCTGGGCCTTAGCTCCCCCTGTTTCTTTAGGCTACTACGAGGTGTCACACCACGCAGAGGGGACTTTATGTGTGAGACGGTAGCAAGCAGAGATTATGAGCTCATCCTACAGCCAGCCTTCCTGGGGTGCAAATGCAGACTGTGTGACCCTGAGTCCATGACTTGAATTCCCGAGTCTGTTTTTCATCCGTGAAGTGGTGTGACTACAGCTCCATCTCAGAGAAGCGATGTGAAAGAGAACGAAACAAGATGGCCTTCTGCAGACTTAGCACGGTCCCTGTAGAGAAGGCCGCAGCCCTGGAAGCCATAAGCCCTGGGCTTCTCACTTTGTCGCCTGACAAGTGAGGACTCACTCACTGTCCCCACTCCCTTCCAGGGCTGTTCCCTACCGCAATGTCACTTTCTCTGTCTATCAGATGGGGCGATAATTCTGACCTTGACAACTTCCCAGGCATCAGAGGAAGCAGGTTGATTAAAATGGTGGCGCACTTGGGAGAGCCGAATGATGCCCAAATCTAGCCAGTGTGAGCAGGCCAACGCCAGCAGCTCATGGGTCACCAGGCTTGGCAGCCGGGTTGTCTGAGGGTCTCTCGTTTTCTGGCTGGAAGAGCGGCCGAGCAGAGCCTTGCTCAAGGTGCTGCCTGGGCGCGGGGTGGGAGAAAGCGAGAGACCCTGACTCCCACCTGTTTCTCCGCAGCCATTTCAGGCACCCTGCAGCACAGCGACGCCCTCCGCACGGCCCTGAGAGAGGTGCCCATGGGTAAAGCTGGTGGCGATGGTGGTGGGCCTCTCCTCGGGGGTCTGCTTGGTGGAAGTGG